ATGATACTAAACAATCCTTTATTAAATAAAGTGATGTTAGTTTATTTACAACCAATACTCGTTTGCCACCTGTCTCGGTAAACAGTAAAACTTGAATGTTGGTTTGTAACTTTATTCCTGCAGTATAAATATCAGAATTCTCGACTGAGCTAAGCAAAGGAAAACCTTCGCCATTTTTTCTTTTTCAAGTTTATTAACATGGTATAAGAGCATTGAGAAGTAATGGATGATTTTCCTCCAAACACCCCGTCGAACAATCCCCCCCACTATAGTGGGTTATGCAGCACTGGTGCTCCATTTACACCACCTCTAAACTTTGGAAGTTACAACAATGGCTCTCAACAGACTCAAGGAAGTCTTTAGAAATTGGACAAGGATCCAGATCTTTAGATACAACTTTCGGTAATCATTTCTACATTAATGCCAATGAAAATCTTGCACGATCCGTTGTGCCAATCGTGCTTGATGGACCAAATTACCAATTGTGCGCTAGAGCCATGAAGGTTGTTCTTAAAGCCAAGCAGAAATTAGGGTTTGTAGATAGTTCAATTCCTGTTCTAGATCAATCTCATGAGTTGTTTAATACCTGGGATGCTAACAATATGATGCAATGTTGGATTAACTACTCTTTGGACAAAGAGATTTCAAGGAGTGTCCAGACCCATGAGAATGCTCAGATCTTGTGGAATGAGCTTAGGGATTGTTTTGGGCAGGAAAATGCTATTAAGTTAGCTAATCTAGAGGATGAATCCATCTACAACTGTTGAGGCATTGAGGGAAACACAAATCACTTACTATTTGATCAGGTTTCTCAAACGTCTCAATGATGAATATGGATACATAAGCTCTTAGCTGCTTATGATGAAGCCTTTGCCTACAGTCATCACAACATTTGACTACCTTCTCCAACATGAACATATGTTTAAGGCAAAAGGAAGTGTTGGGAGTCGGAAATCTAGTCAGTCAGTGGCATTGGCTGTTGGTTAAGGTGGACCATCTTCTAAAGGATACAACAAGCTAGAAGTAGATGGTGAAAAGATGGGGTTATTCTGTAACTATTGCAAGAAAACTAATCATGTCATTAAGGATTGTTGGAAGCTTAAACGGAAGAGACAAGAGAAGGAGGAAGTAGCTGGAAATTGATTCGCTAGATCGGTTGGCTAGAGTCCTGGTAGTGAAGAAGGACAAGCAATGAAGGACGACAACACATTGATGCACGAAGCATTCATTCACAATCAAGTAGATTTACTATGAAAGAGACGAACAAACTCAGAGGTCTACTGCAGTTTTCTAGTTCCAATTCTCCAACTTCACCTTAGAGTCCAGTGATTAATCAAAAGTCACACTCAGTGACAAACTATCTTCCATAGTTACCCAATCATGCATGTAACTTTGTACTCTCATATCAGAAATATAATGCGAATGTAGCATCAATTCATAATTGTATTTTGGATACTGGTGCATCAGACCTTATAGCATGTTCCATTTCACCTTTTTCTCGTAGCCTTCCTGTGTATGATGTTTTTGTCTATCTACCAAATAGAGCCAAAGTTCTTGTAAGTCATATAGGGTCAGTTAAGTTAACCCTAATATATTTCTTCATACTGTTCTCTTTGTTCCTAGCTTCACATTCAATCTCGTGTCAGTAAGTAAACTCACTCATGATCAACTCCTCATTCGATCTTCCATTTCCCATATCCAGGACCTCATCAAAACCAAGATGATTGCTTTGGCGACATAAAGTAGGGGTCTCTATCACATCTTTCCACCAAACCAAAACCACAAAACATCAACCTCTCAAGTTGCTTCAGTCTACAACTTTGAACCTTAGAATATCGATTTGTAGCAATGGCGATTATGACACCCTAGTCATAGTAGATCACAACTTATTCACATATGTATCCCTAGTATTCTCTTAGAGCAAGTTAAGCATTGTGAGCACTGTCATATGTCAAGACATAAATGATTTCCCGTTTCCTCTAATAGTACTACTAGTAGTACTACACCTACTACTTTTGATCTAATTCATGTGGATATATGGGGACCACGTTCAATTCAATCACATGATAGATTTCTTACTTCCTTACCATTGTTGATGATCATTCACGAGCATTATGGGTTTATCTAATGAGACATAAGTCAAAAGCCAAACAATTGCTTATTGGTCTCTGTTCCATGGTTCACACTCAATTTTCTAAAAATGTCAAAGTAGTGAAACTTTCTAAACAATTCCAAATAGTGAGGAGTGACTAGGGAAATGAATTCTACATGTTTAATTTTTTGCTTGGAAAAAGGCATAGAACATCAAACTTCATGTGTTTATATACCTGAACAAAATTGAAGGATAGAGAGAAAGTATCAGCACATCTTGAATATAGCTGGAGCTTTGAGATTTCATTCAAGTGTATCACTGCCCTTTTGGAGTGCTTGTGTACTTCACTCTGTGTATTTGATAAACAAATTACCAACCTCAATTCTTAGCAACAAGTCACCTTATGAAATCCTTTACCAAGTCCCACCATTTCTTGGTAATCTCATAGTCTTTGGTTGTCTGGCCTATGCCACAACTCCATCATAGGGTAGAACTAAATTGAATGTTGTGGCTAAACAATGCATCTTCTTAGACATTCCCACTAAAATCAAAGGATATAAATTATTTGACTTGAATTCACATAAATTCTTAGTCTCTAGGGATGTCGTGTTCTATGAAGACATTTTTCCATTCGAAAGTTCTTCTAGAACTAAAATAATAGATGAGATTCAGCTGGATACACCAATTTTCCCTACTCCAATTAGTTCATCTAACCACGCTAAATTCCCTAACTCATCAAATAGGAATCTACATGTCAGTTGTCCTGTTCCTGTCAACCTACCTAATTTCAATACACATGTCAGTCGGGCTATTCCTATTCCACATTCAAGTGACAAGTCAATACTTCCAGATAGTTCTCTAATTGTCTGCAGTCATCCTTCTTCGAGTCAGTCGGGATATGCTACTTAATTTGATGCATCATGTAGCCCAAATATGATAGATGAATGCTATAACATGAATGGAATGCATGGTGATGACTTAAATGAAGTAGAAGATGTTGAAAGTCCAAAATTAATACCTTTGAAAGATATTCCAATTGCAATAATGCTACCTAGCACTTCTTGCAATTTCATTTACAATCTCATGTACGTATTCATTTTTATATTTAATTTTATGTATGAATAAAAAACCTATAAATATTTTATTTTAAAAAATAAGTTGTCCCCATATATACAATTGCAAATTAATTGAATTGATGTAGACAAATGAAAATAACGTGAGCTGGATTGCAAAAAAGTTGAGATAATTGCAATTGCATTATGTTGATGACAATAACATCTTTGCAAGCTTGCATCTAATGCAACCACATCAACTTTTTTATTATAGAATTATTTTTTCTTGTTTTAATTGTTTGTATTTCTATAATTAAATTAAAATTTAATTGCAATTGCAAATTAAATAATTAATCATATCAACGTGGTGCAATGAAATCAATATGAACTAGATTATAAAAAAACTGTCGCGACAATAAAGAGCACTGGATGTTAATTGTTGTCTTCCACCGACAAATCGCTTTCCCAAATGACCAATGATCGTTATTCAGAAAGAGAATAAAGAAAAGGGTCTTGGCGGGCTAGGATCAGGTGACTAAGAGGGAGGGCCTTAGTCACATGACTAAGTCAATCTCAGCCCTTCCACCTCATTAAAATCCAATGGTTCAGATTAATTCATTTTAATGAAGGGTAATGTGGTAATTATATAATTAATTTATTTGACAATCTGCGCCGCCGTTCCTAGGCGTGTGGGATTTATTTCCCCACCCAAAAGCTTCTGGCTGTGGGATTTAATTTCCCCAAACAAAGCCTTCATCCTCCCGAGAGAGAGAGAGGGAGGGAGAGAGAGAGAGAGAGAGAGAGAGAGAGAGAGAGAGAGAGAGAGAGAGAGAGAGATTTTGTACTGTTAATATGCTTTGTATTGTTTGTCGGTTTATTTTGTAATGTTTGTCGGATTTTTTTTGTAATGTTCGTACGCTTTGTTATTTTGTAATGTTTGTCAGTTTTTTTTGTAATGTTTGTAAACTTTGTTATTTTTGTGTATCGTGTTTATTATTTTTGTCAACCATGTTTGTAATGTTTTTTATGTCTAAAAAACACCCGGGTTGACTTTGGGAAGGAGCCCCTCTATATAGGGATGGAGCCTCCAAAGTCAACCCGGGTGTTTTTTTCAGTTCGTATGGATTGTCGGTATAGTTTGTCATTTTTGTCCACCATGTTCGTACTGTTTGTATGTCTAAAAAACACCCGGGTTAACTTTGGGAAGGAGCCCCTCTATATAGGGATGGAGCCTCCAAAGTCAACCCGGTGTTTTTTCAGTTCGTATGGATTGTCGGTATAGTTTGTCACTTTTGTCCACCATGTTCGTACTGTTTGTATGTCTAAAAAACACCCGGGTTGACTTTGGGAAGGAGCCCCTCTATATAGGAATGGAGCCTCCAAAGTCAACCCGGTTGTTTTTTCTTTTTGTATGGTTTGTATTGTTTGTCGGTCTAGATTGTATTGTTTGCACAGTTCATACGTTTGTAAATCAGTTTGTATGTTTTGTCGCTCTAGTTTGTACTGTTGGTATGGTTTGTACTGATTCTAAGTCCGGTTTGTATACTTCGTAATTTTCCATATTACCCAAACTACCCCTGTCATTAATTAAATAGCCCTTCCCACTTTTTAACCATCAGATTGATGTGTCCAGATCTAAGGGCTGGGAGGGGCTTAGTCAAGTGACTAAACACCCCCTTAGCTTAGTCAAGTAACTAAACACCCCCTTAGTCACCGGATCCGCTCTCGGTATGCCATTGAGGGGCCGTTCACGTTATACTCGCCAGCCAATTATGTGCCATCTCAATTTGGGAAAATCAGAATGCAGAGAGAACCAGAAACTGCAACGTCTTTAACATCTCCCAGGAAGACTCTTCCTACTGTAGCCACCATTATTAACACATTGCTCACAGATAACCAAACATGTCGGTTTTCTTCTTTCTTCCACACCAACCAACTCCCAAATAGAAACCTATCCAGAATTAGAATGGGCAAGCTACAGGTTTGAACCAGTGAAAGCTGCCAGCATGTGGAATATCAAATAAATGCAACACCAGCATGTGGAATATCAAAACATTCTCTGAACCTGAAATTGTATTTAACCCTCATCTATTAGCCATATCTATATGTATCTAATCTTACTGTGCCATCTCCCAGCGCGAGCTGTAGTAGCAGAAGCAGCTCCAGTTATCAATTCACCCCACCATAAACCTTGTATGTTTGAAGCTCCACATTCCATTTTTGCCTTCTTCCCTTTTCAACAACCTGCTCTTCATTGTATCTTCAAGCGAGGATCGCATGTTGTCCATCAAAACCCCTTCTCCTTTTCCATGCTTCTACTACTCTTCAGCACGATTGTGATTAAAAATGAAAATAATGCACAATATTCATCCTGTTTCTTGAATTCGAAAGATGTAATTTTTTTGTGAACCAGATATTCTCTGCACACTGTATCAATCAAGGGGAAGAACTGTCTTCATCATCTGAACTGGTATCTTGTCTCACATTGTACCTGTTCAAAACCGGTAATGAAGCGGTTGGAGCTATTCTGAATGACCGAGCTGAACCCACCACCGTCCTATCCTGCATCTGCCCTACTTCCTTGCACACATGATCAAGTATGTTCAAGAAGTCCCTCACAATCATGAAAATTCTAAATGGGTGGGCTTCCTCCTTTGCCGTATCTCCATGGAAATACGCTGTCACCTCTTTCACCAGCAACAGAGCTTTCCTTTCACTGCTCTTGATTGTGGCAATTACCTCTTCTGCATCTCTCATAAACTGCTTCATCGAGTGGAAAAACTTTCCGTGCATATTATTATCGGCTCTCTCATACTGGAAAACCGACCTCACTTTGTCGAGCCCCATCTCCAGCTTGGTCACGTAGCTGCTTAGAACATCCGAGTCCATTCCTGCTGCCTTTTTCACATTGACGAGGTCCCTACCCAATCCAGACACAACCACCAATCCTTGCTTCCTAAAGTCCTCATCCTTCATCTTTGATAGTTTGCTCTCTTCTTCTTGATGAGAATCTGAAGTGCCTTCTGATCTAATGATTTCCTGAACTACAAAGTGGAGCAATGTCGTCTTCCCATCAGTTCCCTTGATATCTACAAGTTTCAATAGCGTGTCGAGCTTAAACGATTTAGCATCGCCACGATTTGTGCCAACGTTCATACGGTTGCCTGTCCTGAGAACAGCTTCTAGCAGCTTGAGAAATAACCGGCTGTTCTTCAGTTCTTCACTTGCTACCTGGAAAGACAAACACCCACCGGGTTTTAATTTGTTTTAGTTGACTTACTACTGTGGACATGATATAGGAAGAAAGAGAAGTGGTGGACAAAAAATCAGACCTCCAGGGTTTGGAAAGATCTTTTGAGGTATGCAACTTCAGTGTCGAAATTAGCTCGGTATAGCATCGCTTCAACTCTTCTGAAAGCAAATGGGATATCGAGAATGGCCTTCAGGAATTTTTCTGCAGAGCCTAGTTTGGAGATATCCCCACTGTACTCTCTAAGTTTGATTTCTTCCTCCTTTGTTGGAGCCATCTTCACCAGAGTTTCCAAAAGTTCAGCACCCAAGCCTTCTGGATTTCCTGTAATGACATTATACATCATATACCAAACACGAAAAAAGGGAAAACAAAATCAAAGGCTTAGTGAAGAGTGACTTCATGATTAATTAAGGAACTCTGCCACGAAAGTTTGTTATGTTATCCGGTTACATAGTTCAAGATGGAGCAAAGCAAATTTTGTCTGGTTAGAGAGCTGATATGGCTTTTTTGAGTCTCCACAAGCAAGCCCGAAGAAGAAGACAAAATCTTCAAGGAATCAAACAAATAGGATACTCATCTCCATGTTCGGCCATAACAAGCTATCAGCAACAGGTCAAGTTTTCCCTTTATTTTGTCTGGCCGGGCACCACAAAGACAGCAACTTGAGACAACTGGCGTTAAACAGAAGATCTATTTAATCTTTACCTTCTATAAATCTCATGGAGTAACATTTAATGATGAATACAAGGCAAAAATGAGTAAGAAGGGAGAGAGCAGAGAAGACCAAACTTGAGAAGCTTGTGATACACAACTTCAAAATAAAAACAATGATGCAAGTGGCATCATTGTAGTAACTAGTAATGAGCAATGAATACCCTCTCTGTAACAGTCCAATTTCTTAAGACGACAATGATTCTAGCTTCTATGGCAATGGCTATATTTGTCGCTTAACTTTAGAGATGGGACATGCATAACAACTAAGCAAACATAATTCCGAAAAAGTTCCACTAACATAGAAAAAAGGCAGTACTAATAATAATGACAGATCAATTGCCTTCCAATACTGCAGCACACAGGGGATTGCTGGGTTATTTTTTAGGTGTCCGATTAAGTAAAACCCAGTAGTAAAATTGGTTCCTTACCATCCAGAAGGGCTTCAGAAACTTCATCTTTCGTCACATTCAATGCTCTCAGCAGTATAGCTATGTTCTGTGACTTCTTTGGATCCAAAACTCTATTTTCCTGTTCAACTGGTGGCAGAACTGGTTTCCTTGTATGTTCTTTATGAGCAGAATTGGCTGAGTTGAAACCAAAGAGGCTCTCCATCATGTCCTCGTTTAATCTAGAAAGTAGTACGCAATACCCAGTTAGAGAAAATACAGGAATTGAGCAAATCGCCATTAATGAAGCTCTATACAATCCAAGTAAGGAAACAAGAAACCCCAGACTAGATCTTAATGGTTATTGCTTACTGGAACGAACTGGATTTGAGCTGGTCCCACACCGTGGCACGGTCTGAGGTCGCCCGAACTTTGTCCCAATGGAGAGGCTTCAGCTTGGGCTTTGAACCATCATAATTCTCGTCCCCATCAATTCCGCCGGAGGCCGAACCCCCACCGCCGCCGCTTCTGCTACTCTGGTCTGTCGATTTCGCCGAGTCGATTTTCGAACTCGCCTTGGGACTCGGTGTCCACGGCTGCGTCTTTGTGGAGGAAACGCTTGATTTCTCTGCAGATAGAGATTCTCTTACCTTTCTCGGAATTGGAATTGTACCCGGTGGCGGGGGAGGAGGAGGAGGCGGAGGCGGCGGAGGCGGTGGAGCGATGCTTTCGCTGGTCGGATACTCGTTTAACGACCGAAGTAGTGCCAGATTCGGCGGCGGCGGTGGCCCCGAGAATTTCGGCCTCTTGGACTGATAGGAACTCGATAGCTGCTCGTTATGTTGATATTCACCCTCTCGCGGCGGCGGCCGTCGAGGCGGTGGCTCCGAATATGGCTTATTCGTCGAAGGAATAATCACATGCTTCATCTCGGGGGAAGAAACAGAGGAAGAAAGCCTCGATTTGGGAGAAGTTCTCTTCGAGTGAGGAACAGATACAGAGGAGCCACTATTACCGACATTAACTGACCTCAGCGAGCTGCCGTCGTTGCTTCTACTGTAATGCCGTCGCGTAGAACCAGAAACCGGAGTGTAGAACCCGTCGTTGTTGCTCATGGCAGAGCCAGCCGGCGTGTAGAACGGCGTGCCGTTGCTGCTCTCCTCGCCGGACGACGGAGATCCGGAGCTTTCGTACTCTGGCCTTCGAACAGCAGCAGGGACTGGACGAGGAGGAAGACGAGGGTGGAGATTCGAAGCAGCGGCGGAAGGAGGAGGAGGTTTCGGCAATGGCGGCAGCGGCTGCAACTCAGGGCTAGGTCGGTACCGATCGGATCTCTTGATTGAGCTCAGCTTATGGTACGGAGACGAGTTGTTGGCGGTCGTCGTCGCCGTCTGTTCAGAGCTAGAGCTCCTGCTCGGCTCCACCGTACCTATGTACAAAAAATTGGAAGGCGGCGGCTGCGTAGGATCGTCGAATCGCCGGGAATTCTCGTCCCCGAGGCCGACGACGAGCTTGTCGGAGTCTCTTCTGGGCGGGTGCTTGACCCGGTGGCGGTAGAGGAAGAATGCGAGCCCGGAGAGCATACCGAGAGTGACGATCCCGACGGAGATCGCAATCGCCACTTTCTTGACCGGCTTAGCGGGCTGGGCCAGCGTGGCCGTGGGGATTGGAACTGAGGCATTGGCGGAGGAGGTCGCCGGCGGGGTTTGGGCTTGATCTTGGGAAGGCGGAGCTGGGACTTCAGGGAAGAAGGGCTCGTCCGGGTCCGGGGAAGTGGAGGAGTCGGCCGGTGGGGGTTGCGATGGAGGTGGATCGTCGGCGACGGAGGATGGCGGTGGTACTGAAGTGGCCGGGAACAATGGCTGGTGGAGAATTCTTCGGGGGATTTCAGTGCCGACAGCGGCGGCGGAAGCGGAATTGAGCAGAGACAAAATCAGAAAGAGGAGGAAGCAGTTGTAGTCGGCGTTCATTGTGCTTCTCTTCTTGCTCTTACTTTCCGCGCTTGCTGTTTTCCTTCTTTCTCCAAATTCATTCTCAGTGTGATCTCTTTTTTTTTTTTTTTTTTTCCTTAGAGGTATTTCTTTTCCTCTTGGGGATTTGTATGGTTCCCAGGAAAATGAGGGGAAGGGAAAAGAAGGAATTTTATTTTCTTTGGCTTTGGCAGAGACTAGAGAGAGAGAGGGAGAGAGTGAGTATTTTGCAGGTAAGAAAATGGGAAGAGCGAGGAAAAGGGAGAAACTTCTGTTGGCTGCAAGATCTGGATGCTCCCGAGCTGCTGACGTCATACCAGAGCCGCTTTTATGCCTTTTTCTTTTGCTCTCTTTCTTCTTTGCTTTGCCTTGCCTTGCTTTCCTCCCGTCCTGGACTCCAGTTGCTTTCAGTAGTGAATGTTGGGGATATTGCCGCGTGGACGCCAAGAATATAAATCGCCTTAGGCGGAGTAAATTCTCAATTGGCAAGCAGAAAGAGAAAGAGAGAGAAAATTTCAATACACGTTCGTCAAACCGGTTTGTGCTCTTATATCGATTTGTCAAGTGCTATAGCTTGACCGAAATATAATTTGGATAATGCAGGGTCATAATTGTTCAATTCTAAACGATAAAGGGTGATTTGTGTTCGGAGGGTTTGATGAGTAGGGTAGGGATGGTAACAAAACCCGAACCTATGTGTACTCTACCCGACCCAATCTGGTCAATGCGGGTAAAACCTGTGTTGACGGGTTTTGGGCCGGGTTTGGGTTTAAATCCGCTACATTATTCATGGGTTGGGTTTGGGTATACCCGGCTCATGGGTACCCGCCCACACCTAAATAATTAAATTTTTAATATATTTAATATTCTAAGCAATATATCTTTCTTAAACAATTAATCTTCTTAATGTTTGTGGAGAGATGTCTAATTTATTCTTTCTAATTGTTTATAATGAAGTTGATATTATGGAGTGGAGAGTGAAGATTGAAGAAGTTTAGTTGACAAGGAGGAAGAAGCTTTCAATTAATCATGTTGTTTATAGATGTTTATATTTAATTTTGAACAATTTGTACTGATAATTTGCGGTTTGCTTGTATGCTCTAGATTGGTGTTTTTTGTATGAATAATTTGTATGAGAAAATTTATGTTAGACTTTTATTTTGAAAGAAACTTGTCATTGTAGTTTTTTTACACAAAAACCCACGGGGACCCATGAACCCGTGGATACCCAGCGGGTTGGATTGGGTTTGAGTTTTTCAAACTCAGCGGGTTTTACCCCGAATTTTTTTAGCGAATAAACCCATGGGTTTGGGTTTGACAAAACCCGCCCCATCCCACTTTTGGGGTGCAAGACCCGGCCTCTTGAAAGAATAAATAAAGAGAAGTTAGAGGGAGAAAATAGATGGAAGTTGTATTAAATGTAGATAGCTTGTCATTTATAACGAGATAACTCCTATTTTTATGTGAGTTTGGATGTTCAGTATGTTGTCCAAATAGGCATCGGAATCCGGGCCCTATTTTCTAGCCAAATGGAAAACTGTCCAGTTAAATCATCCCAGTTGCAACCAGAAATTGGATTCAATCCAATCCAATTTGTTGTTGTAGTGTCCACAAAAAAGGCCCGGTCTGCTCTGGTAAAACCGAGAAATAATATAGCAAAAAATCAACCCCAAACTAGCCCCTCACTTCCCAAACCTATAATCGACTCTAACCTCCTTTATGTTCTCTCCCTCTACGACCCTTAAACTCTTCTTGTTCCCGGATCCCGAGTCCCAAGCTCTTTTCGCTGCCCAATCGCCAATCGCCTCCCTCTATTATCCACCCCGTCCTATCTGAATTCTGCCAGGTTGTCGGCGACTAGCCACTGCGACATGCACGCTTATCCCCCTAATAGCCGGTGGGACGAGTGTGTTTTTTATTTGTTTTTTCATTTTAATTTTCTAAAAAAACAATGTTTAAGAGGCAAAGGGTGTATTTTTGCGTTTTAGTTAAAATCAGACAAGATCCGCTCACGATTGAAACTGTATGCAATCCAATCCAATTTTTGGTTGTAGAGTTAACATAATTGTCATATGAAAACCAGGGTAAAACTATTCCAGCTATATCGGACCAAACCATTTTCCACCACTAGGTTCCTGACAAGCCATAAATGTTGTGGGCACCTGAAGCTCTCTACCACTGTACATACTTTCAGGTTAGAAGGTATCTACTATTGTGTAGGTTGTTCTCCCTTAGTTCTTTGCTGATGTCAGGTGTGTAAGTTGTCTCCTAACTTTGTTCTCTTTTTGGGCTCCCTTGTCTCTTCCTTTGATGATGCCAACCCTTAGGATTTTGCCCATATGTTTTGGTTTCTCTTGTACTCACTTGTGGGCCTTCATTAAGCATAAAGTATTGGCTTTCATAACCTATAAAAGATTTCCCTTTTGGCAGTGGCATGACAGTCATGGTCACGTCAACTAACTAGGATCCCCTCGACAATTCTTTTGTTTTGGCCCATCATGATATTGTTATTGGCGAACTACGAGCCCATTTTAGAAAGACCAGACTCTACAAGAAAAACATATATTTAGTGTTAGTTATTTTATATGGTTAATGTCAGTTATAACCAACACAAAAGAATTTGTGTCGGTTCACTTAACCGTCACGAAAGTCATTGACACTAAACAGATTGATTCGGTTTTGAGCAACCGCCAGAGAAACCGACGAAAAATAGAAATTACTGTCGGTTTTAACATACTAATTGGGGCTAAATTGTACACATATATACCCCTTACTATGTGTTGTTTGACTTGTGTTGCATCTTCCATGGAGCCATTTTACGTTAGGTATTTTCTTGTTTGAGTGTGCTTCAGGCCCTAGGAGGTTAAAGTGGTGAAAAGATTAAAAACAATTCGGACGAAAGGGAGCAAAAATGGGACAAAGTGCTGTAAATGTCAGGGTTCACGGTCTAGAGCAAATGCTCATGGTCCTAGGGCATGAAGAGTACTCCAAAACCTTGAAGAATACAAATCTCCAAGAGCAGTTGGACGTCTCGCGGGAAGGTGCAGACTTCACAGGCTAAGGACGTGAACATTACAAAGAGTACGTGAAGTGTGTAAGTGAAAAAGAGCATTTTCAGTCTACATCACAATTTCTATGCTTACTTCACGAGCATGACGGGTGGCCGTGAAGATTTCACTATTTTGCTATAAAGGGTTGCAGCTGCGGGATTTCAAAGAGGGAGCTTGGAAAAACTTAGAATTCCAACCCAAAACACCAAAGAGGCATTTCTAGAGAGAGAGAGAGTTATTTAGTGTGAGCTTGGAGCTGAATTGGAGGCTTGGATTAAGATTGGAGCAAGGAAATCAAGCCTAGAAGATGGATATTGAAGATCTCCTACTTTGTATTGTAATCTTTCTCTTCTCTATAAACTAGCCCTCTTCACTTGGGTTGATGAACTCTAGTTCTACATTTTGCATGGATTGTTGATGTATGTGACAAACCCTATGATTTTGGGTCCGAACTATCTATTGAATTGACAAACCCTATGATTGTTGATGTATGTGAACCTTAGTTGAAGTAACAACACATCTAGAGACCCGTGGTTCGATAATTTTATTATTTGCTTCCACTATACTACAACCGATCCTTCGATTGGGAAGTTGTAGTTAGGTCGATCCAAGTTTTTGCCAGAGACATTCTAGGTTATCAGGAAAAGTTTTGGGTTGTTACTTTTTCCATTTTTGTTTTGTGTTTCGTTGTGTTTGTTGACCCACTTTTTGCTCCGAATAGAATTTGAACCTTGTTTATCAAGTCTCTTGCCCAAGCTGTTGGTGGTTACCAATCGTTGAATGTGCTTGGTATCCATCAAGTTTTCCCCTTGATTGTGGTCAAGCTTCCCCTATATCGATCGAGCATTCTCCCGGCGTGGGATTGCACGTTTGATTCCATCAAACTTCAAGTCCAAATCCTCTGTGGTTGGTGTGTTCATGTTCCGAGTACAAGATCGAGCTTGTGTGAATCGATCTTGTTGGGTTAAGTCCAAAGATCTCGAGTTTGAGATTATATGAGTTACGAGTGATCACAAGCTCCCCTTAGAGTTCCTTTGCCTTTGCCACAATTCTGACTACACATAGTCGTGTTTATGGGAATCCACAATGGATTTCTTGATAACACCCAAAATCATGTTATTTAACCCCTATATTTAGGGTTGTGACAGGGCAAAAGCATAATGCTTCAATTGCTATCTTGTAGTAAAATTGGATCCGGATATCGTCTCTTAGGGACTGGTACAACCTTAAGTTTTATCAAATTTATGGAGCAAACTATAAGTGAAAAGAGTTTAATGAGACTAATTTCTAAAAGCAAAGTAAAATAAACAAATTAAGTAAATGAAAACTTTCGGGAGAAATTCAATGGAAAAAAATCTGGGAGAAACACCGGGACTCACTACCTATCATATCCAAATTAATTAACTATTTTTAATCAGTTTAATCTAATTCTCTACAATCAGGATATCACTAATGTGTTGGCTTCACTGTCGGGAATTACTACGTACTAATAAGTTTAATCAAATCGTTCTGTCGTAGCTCATCAAATTAACTAATTATCCATAACGACCGATATCTTATTCATGATCGCATAGCACCTTATTTAATCCACTGTCGCTTTGATAAGTTACCATGTCACACGAAATAGGTTTATTTATTAGGGTTTCACTGTCACTAATAACCTAATTAACCACAAATCAATGTATTGGTGGCCAGTCAACACAAAGCATCAAGTAATTACATGCAATAGAGATTGAAAGAAAAGAAATATGAATCAATCTATCAAATCTAGAAATAGCTACATCTTATTGTGTTTTCCCCAGAAATTGGGGTTTAGTTCGACGAAAATAAAATACACATCCAAAGAGAACTTCCTCCGCATAGAATCTTTACCGATCTAAGTTTAGTCAAATAATGGCCCTTCCGTTAGTCCACTCCTCCTTTGATTGTGCTCTTTGGCCTTTGCCATCCGCATATGCTTACATACTCATTTTCTTTTCCACCTAAAATATATAAAAAATACTAACACATGGCGGTAATGGTCTTATAACCATTCTAGAGTCAATTGGTCTTAAAACAAGCATTATATATCTCAAATATATCATAAAATAAACACATTACATAATATCAATATGTTTTCTAAAATTATCAGGTTGTTTTCGGGTCTTTTCATGGTCTGGTTGACAATTTATCAAATGCATCATTAATCCCATACCCAGA